TTATGTGCATGAATATACAGTAACGTATTGTTATTAACGTTTTACATAAGGTAAGACAGTAATATTAACGAATCTTTAAAATAATAAAAAAAGAAAAATTATATCAGTAAAAAGAAGAATTATTTTGCTTGGTAAAAAATTGTTAGAGATTTTGTTTGTTTATATAGATGTAAATATTATTTTTTTTTTCTTTTACGATTAGTGTTTTATCTTAGATTTTACTTAATTGAAGTTTATCTTAATTTATTATATAAGATTGAAATATATTTTCAATTTTCTGAATATTATTTTCTTTTTCTTATAGGATTAGTATTTTAGATTAGATTTCCTAAATTGAAATTATTTATATAAGATTTTATTTTTAAATATATTCTTTTTTAATTGATAAATGTTGAAATCTTATGGATTTAAATTACCACATGTGACGATCAAATTAATTATTAACTTTGATGCATCCAACTTTATATAATAAGATACAAGATAAATGTTTGATAAAATAAAAAATTTATTGTGTTTTTTATGAGAACCTCTTACTTTTTCCTCTTTTAATTGTTTTCTCTTATCATTTTCTTAAAAATACATTTTTTCAAATTCTTTTAATTTTTTTTAAAATACATTTTTTTCAACCACTTTTTAAAAATTATTCAAACTCCATAAACGATGAAATATTTACAAAAGAGGCCAAACGGTTTGCCAAACACCCAAGAGTTGGTGCAAAGTATTTTAAAGTGAATACTATCAAAATCGGGTCAACTTGGAACAAACCGGGTCAACCCGGAACAAACTGGATTTTGACCCGGATTGGGTCTGGGTCGTAGCCAAACACAGCCTATCTTGCACGCGTCCTCAGCCCGCACCAATTATCTGGAATTTAGCTGTGGCCTGGCTTGCCCGTGCTGTCAGCCAACACCAAGTCTTGGGAATTTGGCTGCGGCCTGGCTTGCCTATGCCCTCAGATCGTGTTCCAGGTTAACCCGATTTGGATTTAGCACATGTTTTAGTCATTTCTTGCATATTTTCCTTCTCATTTTTCCCATTTTCCTTTGGTTTGAGACATAGATTGTATTTAGGTTGTAGTTTGTATTTTCTTTGCATAAGGAATGTTTTAGGTACTTGAGGAGCTATTGGAGACATGGTGGAAGCTTGGGAGTAATCTAGGAAGTTGTCCTAGCCAAGGAGAATCAAGAGGAGCCAAGGAAGTGCATTTCAGAGTCGATGTCGAGCTCCATGTCCTGCCTCTATGTCGACATCATCCAGCATAGAGAGAAGGAGTCCATGTCGTGCACCAATGTCGAGCTTCAAGGGCGACATCCGGAGACAGGACACCTATGTCAAGATGCATGTCGCGCGACATAAATGCCCCGAGACACCCGAGAAGCAATGTCGACCACCGATGTCGCACATAGCCAGTCCAACATCAAGCAGCCAAAACCCCATGTCGAGATGCATGTTGACCTCATCAGCTCGACATCCTCCTCGCCAGAACTTTATTTATTTACAAGTTTGCCATTGTACTAGGGTATTTGTCTTTTAGTATAAATAGGCTGAGACCTAAAAATATTAGCAAGTCTTGTTCTTGCTTCTAATCCTGTTTTTCTCTTAATTGCTTTTGCTGTGTAAGAACAAGATCCATCTTTGTAATCTAAGTTTCTGCATTTATCTCTTTAATTTCTCCTCCCTAATCATATTTAACCCATTAATCTTTGTGGATTTGATGGTTTTGATGATGGTTAGTGAGTAGTTCTTTATAAGTTCTTAGATGTGGTAGATTATATGGATTTAGATGTTTGATTAAGACTTGTTAGTGTTTAATATCATTGATTCCTCTATATTAGACTGTTATTAGGCTAGATTTGTCTTGTTCACATGAATCTAGATTTAAGCTTTTTTTTATGCCCACCAATTGTTTGATGAAATGTTGATCTTGTCTTTTAGAGGATTTACTTGTCTTAGCTCAAGTGATTGACTGTCTAAGAAGTATGTTGGCTTGAATAGAATTGATTTATGCTTTCTTGCTATTGATCTTAGCACTAATGGAAATTAGTTCTTGTTAGGATGTTTATCAAAGTGTTAATCACCAAGGGTTTGGGTTTGGCTTGCTTAATTAGTGAATTATATGCCTAGGAATTAGCATTACTTGCTTGTTTGCACTATTAATGAGTTTGATAACAGCCTAATCTTGTGTTAGAGTCCCCCAAAATCCATAACCACATCTAGGATCCTTGCTTTTATTAATTGAATTTCGAATTTGCTTTGTGCTCTGTTTTGTTTGCTTGATCGTTGTCTAAACATTGCTTCTAATAGTTCTGTTTAGTTAATGGTTCATTAGTTTGATAGTTTGAAACAATATTTCTCTGTTTTGGCATGGATTAGTCTTTCTATTGCATTCCTAATGCATTCATCTTAGACCTATGGATTGATAAGAACCCTTGCTATAATGATTAGTGCAAGCTTCAGTAAATGAGATAGCATAAAAGCTTGTATCAATCATGTTTACTAACACTTCTATCATTAGTAATGTTGGTTTAACTATGATTAATGAGTAGTTCATTAGGGTCTAATGATATATCATTGTTTTCTATGGGATTTTGACCATGATATATGTCTTGTTTTAGAGTCTTTTTGGTTATTTTCGAGTCTTTTCGAATCTTTGCATGTTCAGGTACGTTTGAAGCATATTTGAAGATTTTGGAACTATTTAGAGCTCTGTTGGAGTTGCTTCTGAAGAGATAAAGTTAGAGACGAAATTGGAGCATGGTTTCGATCGACACCAACCATGTGTGTCGATCGACACCGATCGTGGTTACGACTTGCTCGCGAGTTTTACAAGATTTTTGAAAATTGCAACTTGGCCCAGATGTTTCCAATTTTTACAAAGTTGCCTAGCTCGTGTTTTAGAATCTGTATATAGGTTTTCAGAGCCATTGTTTGGCCATTATTTTATTTTCATTGAGACTTAGAGAGAGATTAGATCAAAAACTTTTGGAGAGATAAATCCATACTCTGTTCTTAAAGAGAATTTCGAACCCCGTTTGTATCTTATTCTTCTCTTTTATGCAGCTTATTTATTTCATAATGTAGCTTCATTCACCATATGTGAGTAATCTACTAGTTAGGTTTTGGGTTTTTCAAAAGTTGATGATGAGTTGTTAGAATCGAAATATTGTTAGAATTAATCTGTTTGTTCTTCATCTAGATTTTTTTTCGTTATATCAAAATTGTTAGCAACAAAAGCATCTCTAAACGACAAAGAAATATGGTCTCCAATTGTGAAGAAACAGAAGAAGCCAGGAAAATGGCTAAAGCATCAACAAGACGAGAAGAAATGAGTCCAATCAAGAAAGTTAAAGAGGAGCCAAAGAAGAAAATGATGAGAGCAAAACCATTTGATGATCAAGGAGAAGAAGAGTTCCCCAAGAGTTCAAATGAAGGTAGGTGAAGGTTCTGTGTGTGTTATGAAGGCAAAAATGGCCTTATGAAACGGGTAGCTTAGGAGAAATTGGGATAGTTTGAGGTGTAGAAATCAAAAGATAGGCATTGGGTAGATGAAAGTCATCCTTGTATGTATTTATTGAATTTAACTCTTAGTATTTTGTCACAAGTTGGTTCATTTGTTGAGAGATCCTTTCTTCTGAAACTACCACACAAAATGAGATTATTTTCATCTCATGACTTTATCTCCTAGCCAAATTAGTCCATTCTATTTGCATAAAATGATCCATGACTACACTTTATAAATGTTACCGGATGAAATTTTTAGAATGCTTGTGTATGCTAGGATTTTAGTTCATTTCACGATGTGATGAGTATGACTAAATCTTTTGGAGTAAAATGAGTTCAAGTGCATTCTAAAACTAAGAACATGATCATTGATTTGATTTCTTTGTTGATATCTTTGGATTTGAACTCCAACTTTCGAACCTCTTCTCCACTTTGTTCTTATTTATTTGCTTAAGGATAAGAAAAAAATAAGTTTCAGAGTGCACATTCAAAATAAAACAAAAGCTATGTTTAAATATGATTGATGGTTCTGATGCAAATGAAAATAAACGATGGTAAGCAAATAAACAATTTCTAGCAATGTAAAACTTATAAATTAAATTAAAAATTAATTTTCACTTCAAAAAAAAAAACTTATAAATTAAAAATGTTGGGGTGTTGGAGAATCCTAAGGGTCATGTTTCATATTATTCAAATTTGGCAATTAGAGATAAACACAAATTTATTATTTGTACAGATATATCGTGTTCTCAGGCTTAAACATAATTTTGTTGCTTAGATATAATTAAAGATATTGTAGTAGAGTATAAACACTAGTGTAAATTTCATCCAAACTCGAAATTCATTTGGCTGTAAAGTGGTATTAAAGTTTGTGGTCCGATCAGAGCCGATCCTGAAATTTTGGGAGCTTGAAACCAATAACAAAATAGGAGTTATTATATCATAAAATTTTAACTGAATTTTATATATATATATATATATATATGAAAATACTAATATCAAATAAAGGTAAATAAAAAATAATCTATAGTGTTTTAAAAAAATATTTGTTTCTTGCATTTTTTATGTAAGATGCTAAAAAACTACAATTGGACTAATTTGTTGATTATTTCTGGTTCATCTCTTTTAATAAATTGGAACTTTTTTATAAAAAAAGACTTATATTAACAAACCATAAAACATTAATAAAATTATATATATATATATATATATATATATATATTTGTTTTTTATGAAATGGGCCTCTAAAAATTGTGGCCGGCTCTGGATCCCATCTTGGCTTGATGTGGTATTAAGTTAGCAATGAATGATGTGGACCTAAAATTTGACTTTCTTTACAAAAAATTAACATCAGTTTATGCAGCAACATTTCTGGTCACCACAGCCCTGAATTCAATTGAATCCATTTACTTTACAGGTTATATATAGCAAACCAGTTTAACTAAAATTCCAGTATCTAAACTCATAAATCCTTCTGCGTAAAAATGGCTATGATAGGCTTACTTGGAACCTTCATAGCATTTTTTCTCTTCCTTGTTTTCAACTGTTTCTTCCTCTCCAAGAAATCTCACAGCGGGCCTTTATTCAAGTGGCCTATCGTTGGGATGCTTCCAGGAGTTGTCGCCCAAATCCCTCGAATATTTGACTTGATCGTTGAAACTCTTGAGGCCAACAATCTAAATTTTGCTTTCAAAGGGCCCTGGTTTAGTGGAACAGACTTGTTATTGACCGCTGATCCAAGGAATATCCATCACATGCTCAGCTCAAACTTTGCGAATTACCCTAAAGGACCTGAATTCAAGAAGATCTTTGATGTTTTGGGAGATGGAATCATAGCTGTTGATCTGCAATTGTGGGAGGATCGGAGGAAGTCAGGTCACGCCCTATTTCACCATCAAAATTTCCTGAAGCTCTCAGCAAGTAGCACTACATGTAAGTTAAAGGATGATCTTGTTCCTTTTCTTGATAATGCTGCTGAGAAAAACATTATCATAGACTTACAAGATTTGTTCCAGCGATTCATGTTTGATACTTCTTCCATTTTGATGACTGGTTATGATCCAATGTCTCTATCCATTGAAATGCCGGAAGTTGAGTTTGGTGAAGCTGCGGATGTCATTGAAGAAGCGATCTTCTATAGACATCTTAAACCGGTGATGTTTTGGAGGCTTCAAAACTGGATTGGTATTGGACTTGACGGGAAGATGAGATCTGCTTCGGTCACTTTCAATAGTCTGTTTGCAAAGATCATATCTTCTAGAAGAGAGGAGATAATTCGCGGGGAAAAAGAGCCATCAATGGACGCAGTAACATATTATTTAAATTCGGACACGGCCAAATATAAGCTCTTGAAACCGAGTAATGATACGTTTATAAGAGACACTGTTTTGAGTCTATTGTTAGCAGGAAGGGACAGCACAAGCTCAGCTCTCTCTTGGTTCTTCTGGCTTCTATCTAAGAATCCTCAAGTTATGAACAAGATACGACATGAGATCAGCACAAAGTTTGATCCTACAGATCTTGAGAAGCTCGTGTATCTACATGCTGCCATGTACGAATCAATGAGACTCTACCCACCAGTTCCCTTCAACCACAAGTCTCCTGCAAAGGCAGATGTGCTTCCAAGTGGGCACAAAGTGGAAGCAGATTCAAAGATCGTGTTCTCCATTTACGCAATGGGGAGAATGAGATCTCTATGGGGAGAAGACGCATCAGATTTCAAACCAGAGAGATGGATTTCAGACAATGGAGATCTAAGACGTGAACCTTCATAGAAGTTTATGGCTTTTAATTCGGGCCCGAGAACTTGCTTGGGTAAACATCTTGCTCTCTTGCAGATGAAGATAGTAGCTGTGGAGATCATACAAAACTATGACTTTAAGGTCATTCAAGGTCACAAGGTCGAACCAGTTCCTTCTGTCGTACTCACTACAAAAAAATGTTAATATTGTTACAAAAAAATTATAACTAATTGTTTTGTCATAATGTTGTGATGATTTACATACAAAATTGTGACAAAATTAATTACTCATAAAAACGTTATTATTTTGTCATAATATAATAACAAGATTAATGGTAACCGTGTCGTAATTGTTACAAAATATATAGTAACAAATATTGTTACGGATTTGCGATTCATTTTTGTAACTAAACTATACGATTTTTGTGACTCAACTTAAATCACTCACAGTTACAAATATTTTGTAAGTATGTCATCACAATTAGACACTTTTTGACTAACCTCTGCATTGAGTCATAGTTGTTACTATTTTGAGACAAAAACTAAAACTACATGTAAAAAAAAAGAGAATAGTTTCATTTGTGGAAAAAACCAAAAATACATAATAACTAGAAAAAGTAGAAATGACATATATAATTTTAAAATATTATTAAAATTCATCATTAAATAATTTAATATATGAATTTTCATCTTCAACATCTGATCTAATTTTGCTATTACTTCTGGATCATCAAAATCTTCTATTTGGCTTTGTAGATAAGTTAGTATCTCCAAGTGCAATAAAAACCACAACTAAAGAAAATGCAAAAGGCTCAAAAAGCAGAAGAAGTATAAATTATTCAAGAAATAAAGCAAAAAATAAAATTCAATATGATTTTGATTTAAACAAACTATTTATTATGAAGATAGAGGAGAATTTTACTGTGGAGGCTGCAAATGGATTTGTTTTTAAGAAAAATAGTAGACATGAATTCGATTTAAACAAAACAAAGTTTATTGATGAAGTTAGATGAATTCATCTTAATAAAGAAATTCAAAAAGATATAATCGATATATTTAAAATTTATTTTCCTTCTCTTTCTCTTAAGTTATTATAAAATGTAATGTGTTTTTTCTTTATTTACTTAAGAGCTAATGAATAATAAATTACAAATTGGGAAGGCTTACAAAATAAAAAAAATTCCTTAAGTTATTATAAAGGTAATGTGTTTTTTCTTTATCTACTTGCTAATGAATAATAAATTATAAAATAAAAAGAAATTATGTTGCCTAGTAGTTTCGAACTAACACATAGATAAAATTAATATGGCACACGCTTTAACCACTAGGCTAATGAAACGATTTTGTTATACATGGCAGAGTTAACTAATTTATTTAACCAATAGAGATCTATATCAATTAGGCAGACGACGGACATCGACAGCTCATCACACACACACGCACTCTTTCTCTATCAGACGGACATCGAGAGCTTTTTTCGGCTCTGCTGGATCCTTTTCGATTCTTCTTCTAGATCTCTGTCACCAGATCAATGGCGGCTCCTCGACATCGTTACTGCCGCCTTCTTTGGTATCGTCCTTCCCTTCACTCCCCTCGGCGATTCTATGGCGGCGTCTGGTCAGCAACTTTGCCTAGACAAACCGCCGCCTCCTTCATCGTTCGATGACGACGCCAAGGAGTTGACGCAGGCAGATCAGGAGACCGCAGGGAAAGTGGTTTCTCAGGTTGGAATTCATGAGTCTATGGCTTCGATTCTGAAAGACCTTGAGAGGTTCAGACCCAAGAGAGCGGCTGTGTTGATATGTATCTTCGAAGGAGACGATGGAGATTATGTACTCATATTCGCTAAGAGGTCTTCCAGATTGTGTACTCACTCGGGTTTGTGCTTACTTCTCGTTTTGGTTTTATTTGAAGTAGAACTGGATTCAGAAATCATTTATGCGCATTCACATAAGATTAGAAGGGATGGTACTGTTTGAGGTTGAAGGTTTTCGTCTTTGAATTTGGAAATCATTTGACTTCGGATTCAGAGTTGATGCGTTTAGATTTGAAAAAGTAGTGTGTGTTTGCTCTAAATTGTTAGATGGTTGCTTTCAGCTTACTGCTCTGGATAGCGTTTAAGGTTTATGGTTGCAGGAGAAGTTTCAGTGCCAGGTGGTAAAGCGGAGGAAGATGATGGGATGACAGCAACCAGAGAGTCCGAGGAAGAGATTGGATTGGAACATTCGCTTGTTGATGTTGTCACTTCTCTCAAACCATATGAAACATGGTCTTAAAGTCTTAGTCAGTAAGAACTAAGACAATATGATTATTATGCTTGCTTCGCTTCTACGGCAACTATTACTATTCCCTTATTTATAATCTTGTTATTACTAAGTGTTTGTTCCGCAAATATATTTATTACTAATAAAAGTTGATGCTAAATGCCTCTAAGGGTGTCCACATATGATTTAAAGATTCAATTTTATTGGTACACATCATCATTATTTTTAGTTAATTATATATTGTATATTAAAATTAAATAATTCGTTTTAATTGTTATAAGAAAAATTTCTAATTTTAATTAATTTTTTTTGTTATTAGGAAAGTTTCTAAATTTTAAGTTAGTTATTAATGAAAAAGAGTTTTGAAAATAGATCTTATTTTTCTATTAACAATAAAAAAGTAAATTAACATATAAATAGATTATGAAAGAAAAATCATATATATTGAACAAAATTACTAAAAACTGTATTTAAAACTATAATTAAATTATTTTAAAATTTTAATCACGACAAACAATTAAAATATGAACTGCTAACTTAAAATATATTAGTTGTGGTCCGTGTTGATGTCTTATGCCAATGAGAGCGTCTACATATGACATATATACTCAATCTGATTAGTCTATATCAGCGTATTTCATTAAACATAAAAAATAAAAAATATTATTAATAATTTAAATAAATTAAAACATACAAACATATAAAATTATAACAATAGAATATAAAATTAAGATTATTTATTTAATTAAATAAAATAAATTGATGTCAAAAGTCTAAATATATTGTGAAAATAAAATGGAAACTCATTGTCACAAAAACTAAACTAACAAAAAAAATATGTAAATCAATAACGAAAAATTTAAATTAAAAAAACAATTTAGCATATATATTTTAAATGAGTAATTTATTTAGAAAAAATATTAAGATTAAATTTTCATATAAACATATAAAATTGTTATTTAAAAATATCAATACTACCAAAAAAACATTCATCTTAAATTATAAAAAAAAAAAGTCATCTAAAACTTATAAGTTTTGGGGAAATATTTTATAAAATAACACAAGAATCTTAACAAACCAAAAATAATAATTTATGCTAATTACTGAAGAAAGCAATATAAAAAATGTTTAACTAACAAAACCAAAACATAAATTATTTCTTACAACATGTCAATATAATTAAAATGAAAGTCCATATCGAGAAAGCTAAATTAACAAAAAAAAGAGGATATTAACTTAATATCTATGTTATTTATTTAACAAAATCAATATAAACAGAATAAGTAAGAGAATAAAAAACTTAAATAATACTAAAAAACTTAACTAACAATAATAATAAAAATATTTAAGCTAATTATTTAAGAAATCAATATTAAGAAATTAATTAACTAAAAAACTAAAACGAAAATTAAGTTTTACAAAATATTATCTTTTAAAAAAACACTTAAAAATATACTGTCTTGATATCTGACTAACTGCTTAAAAATTTCATATAAAAATATTTAACTAACAAAAAATTTATGACTTCAAAATATCAATATTTTAAAAACAATGATAAAAATCAATATCAAGAGAGGTAAATTATCAAAGGAAAAAATCGTATAAAGTAAAATTAGCTTGATATTTAGGCTAACTACCAAACAAATGTTAACTAAAAAAAGCAAATGATGGTATAAGCTTTTGAGAGAAGTTCACTTAAAATTTAGAATAACCAGTTATAGCATGTCAAAATAGCATTTTATTTAATTTAAAAAGTAAATTTAACAAAGAAAAAACATTTATGCAAAAGATATTAGATTAATATATATGCTACCTATTTGAAAAATCAATAACAATAGAGATTACTTAAAAATATATATGTTTTAAGTATATCAAACCTGCAGAAAATTAGATAATTAAAATAAAATAAAAAATTACCATCGAAGGTATTTAAAATAACAAAAAACAAGATCTAAGAAGAAAATTAGTTTGAAATATAGTTCCAAAATCATTCATGATTTCTAAAATATTGGTGTTGACTATGAATAACCATATAAAGTTTTAATAGGTTATACAAGTTTCTAAATCAAACATATTATTTAATTTTACAAAGATTAATACCTTGGTTGCATCGGGTTGAAAAATTAACAAAATAAAATACTACACAAGTAACTTTATATTCAAAATATAATAAGTAATAAAGTCTGATTTGTATACATATTTACTGCTTATAACTTAGCCAACATGAACAACACATGAGCAACATCCTCTAAAATTTTATTTAAATAATATAATATGACAAAGTTATGAATCAAATTCAAATAGGAATATATGAAGATAAAATATTCAAATCAAAACATGAATAAACACACAAAAGATAAAAAAAACAGTGATAATGTGAAGTCTCAACATCATCTTACATGTTTAAAAACAAATATTAGCAAATAGTTGAGTGCAAATAAAACAGATCTTATAAACTGAAAAAAGTTATAACCTAAAATTCATAGAAGATCTGGTGGAGAAGCAAAAAGTAGCTTTACACGATTAGTGTAGCTTACTAACAAAAATAAATCTGAATCAACATATATCATATATTATATATGTATATGTACACAACATTAGTGAGACATTTAGTATAGAAACTAAATATTTAAACATATAAACCTTTTTAAAAAAAAGAACCATAGAAATTCTAAAGATACAAAACAAAACACCAAAAGTTTAGTAAGAAAATCATTTTCTAAATTAAATATGCACATCGAAGTTGGATAATTCGTTAGGTGTCATTACTATAATTTTACTTAATAAGATTTATAATTTTATAAACAAAATAGGAAATACTACATATTATGTTTTATTTTTTTTATATAAAAGAAAATTTCTATAAATATATTATAGTATTGATAATTTAAAAGATATTAGCCAAAAAATTAAACCAAAATATTTATACAGACTCGCGCTATGCCTAGTCATATAATATATAAAAGTTGATGGCATAGTGCATTGAGGGTGTCTACATATGATTAAAAACTCGATATGATTGGTCCACATCAGCATATTCATTAAATAAAAAAATGTTAAGTATGATTAGGACGGAAAAACTTGATTTAATTGGTCCACATCAGCTTTTTAATAAACTAAAAATTATTAAGTATAATTAAAACATTAAAAGTTAATTTAACAAATTATGGCCAACAAAAAAAATTAAATTCAATCTGATTGATCCAAATCAACATATTTATTAAATCAGAAAATGTTAATATAGTTTAAAATTTTAAAAGTTAAATAAAAAAAATTAACAATTCTCTTAACAATACATGTATAAAAAAAGTAACCATTATCAATTATCAATTTTAAAAAAATCTACAACAACTAGATTTAACAATTAAAATAATAAAAATGAATAAAAATATAACATAAAACTCTTGGAAGACATGGTGGAGAAGGAAAATATGGTTTTTTTGCATGATCATTACAGTTTCCTAACAAAATTAAATGCGAATCAACATGAATCATGAATTATATATGCAGTGGTACACAACATCAATAAGCCTTTCAATAAAAAACTAAATATTTGAACACATAAACCTTTTAAAAAAAGAACTATAGAAATTCTATAGAAATCAGAAAATAATACCAAAATCTTTGCAAGAAAATATTTCTTTAAATCAAATGTATATGTACGTCAAAGTTGGATAATTCGATAGGTGTCATTGTTATTATTTTACCTAATAGTTTTTTAAAATTTATAGATAAAAATAGATTAATTACATATTATATATTAAATTCTCTTATATAAACGAAAATTTCTATAAATATATTATATTTTAAATAATTTTAAAGATAGTAGCTTACAAAAATAAAACCAAAATATTTATACAGACTAGCACGTAGCGCGAGTTATATACCTAGTATTATTTAAAAGTTCATTTATGCTATTGAGGGCCTTTTTGTGATTAAATAAACTAAATTTAATTAGTCCAAATCAATGTTTTCATTAAATAAAAAAGTTAAATATTATTAATTATTTAATTATTAATATACACAAAAATAAATTTATCATAGTAAAATAAAAAATAAGATTAATTCTAATATTTTTAACTAACAAAACAGATAAAAACTAGTTATATCAAAAATAAAAATATACAAAGTTTGTCAAAATAAAATAGAAACTTAATATCCAAAAACTAAACTAACAAAAAAAACAATTATGTAAATCACTAACCAAAAGTCAAAGTAACAAAGAAAAAGTTTAAATATAAAAGTTTATTGAAAATAGAAACTTAATGTCATAAATCTATAAAGTTTTTCAAAATTAAATAGAAACTCAATGTCACAGAAACTAAATACAAAAATAAATAACTATAAAGTTAAATTAGCAAAAGAATGAGTTAAAATAAAAATGTTTAGCTAATAAAAAATTGAGAGTTTTTAACTAATCTATAATATATAAAAGTTGATGCCTTATATCATTGAAGACGTCCACATCATCATATAATATATAAAAGTTGATGGCATAGTGCATTGAAAGCGTCTACATGGGATGAATAAATCTAATCTGATTGGTTCACATCAGCATATTCATTAAATAAAAAAATGTTAAGTATGATTAGGACGAAAAAACTTGATTTAATTGGTCTACATCAGCTTTTAAATCAAACCAAAAATTATTAAGTATAATTAAAACAATAAAAGTCAATTTAACAAATTATGTCCAACAAAAAAGTAAATTCAATTTCATTGATCCAAATCAATATATTTGTTATATCAGAACATGTTAATATTGTTTAAAATTTTAAAAATTAAATAAAAAAATTAACAATTAACAATACATATATAAAGAAAAAAGTAACAATTATCAATTATCATTTTAAAAAAATCTACAACAACTCGATTTAACAATTAAAATAATAAAAACTGAATATAAATATAACATAAAACACTTGGAAGACATGATGGAGAAGGAAAAAATGGTTTTGCATGTCATTACAGCTTCCTAACAAAATTAAATGCGAATCAACAAGAATCATGAA